GGTCCTATCCTCCATTCTATCAACTAATGTCTTTGCTTCCTCAAGATCTCCACACTTCACATACATATACATAAGAGTATGGACCATGCTTGCTGTACATTATACCATACAGCATGGTGTACAGCCCCCTTATAGATGAGGGGGTTGTACACCATGCTGTACAAGCATGATGTACAACCACGATAACTCTAAGAGTAGGTATTAGTAAGCGGGATGCTCATATTGAACCATTTCTCTCGAATATATTGATGAAATTCTTTCTAAGCCTCAAATCGTCCGACTGAGCACTCGTTGAAACCACCCCAATCATAGTAATCTCATTAGGATTCATATCTCTCTCTCCATTTTCTTATAAATCCTCAATGCATCCATGAAACCAAGTCTCTCATAGGATTTTTGCCAAACACTTTATCTACAGCCTCCAACTCCCCACTTTACGTAGCAAGTGGAATCAGATCCAACTACAACACCGAGTTGGCTCTGTCTATCAAAAAAAAGGGATTGAGCGATCTTGGAAATGGGAAAAAATGAGAGGATTGAAGGACGGAAAATTCAGGTTGTGAAACCATTAATGGTGGTGGCCTAGCTTTGTAGTGGTGGATGTGATGGCACAAGAGCCTAAATTGTGGGTTGTGGATACTCCGACAGGGTTTGTAACTGTAAGTATTCATATCTTACCTAAAATGGGGAAGAAAATGAAGTGGAGTGGGGTGGAAAATAAAGATATAAAATTTTTGGGATTGTCGATGACACATATAAAAAAATTGGGTATAATTTGTAAAAGAAAAAGTTTGGGGTTACAGTTACAATTATTTAACGGTTAAACTAATGGAATTGGACGATAGGAGACTTTGAACACACTTCAAAGTTCATAGGGAGTTTTTCGTATTTCAAAGGCTTTATTCCGCACTAAAGGTTTGAAACATGGATGTTTTGTGCTATTTAACCCCAAAAAATTATTTATTTAAGAAGTTACTATTGTATTCAACACAATTCACTTTTATGCTCTTTTATTGTGGCCATCGTTTAAACCTTAGTCTAGTGTCTCTATGCATGCAATGTCAAGTTAATTATATCACTCATCATTGACATTTAGGTTATGTTACAACTTGCTCATTCAAAAATAAAAATAAAAAGTTACCGATTGTTCGCTCACTTCTATATATAGTTACCTATCCATCACCCATGTTAATTTCATCCATCTACTTGAACAAAAATTACATGTGGCGAATGAAAATCCTACTTGGCCACTATGTTAAAAATTGACACATGGAGAACATTTGCAACTCTCTGCCCCCACCATCACCTCCACCTCTATCTAATTGAACTTATACACCATATGCATTTCCTCCACTACCCAGAGGCGACCCTGAGGGCGCACGAGTTGAGTGACCGCACATGGCCTCAAAATTGTAAGGGCACCATAAATTTTTTTTTTATTATAATTGTATATTTATTTATAATTATATTTTTAAAATACGAAATTTTTATTATTATGCATAAGATATTAAAATTAAGAATAATGTGAATAATTAATTATAATTTCTTTGAATATAAAATTTTTAAGTAGTATTCTTACCTTAAATAATGTGAGGGAAAAGGGAAAAGTCGAAAAGAGATCAGGTTGGCCAGAGAGCTGAGAGAAGAAAGAAAAATTAAGCGAGCGCCTTTTCCAATTGTCTTTTTTGGAGAAAAGAATTAAAAAACCCAACTATCTTTTTCAATTGCCTCAAAGATAATTGAGGCAAAGAAAAGATAAATCAACCATCTTTTTTGAAGAAATCGTCTTTCTCGTCCAATCATCTTTAATCTGGTTCCAAAAAATTCTCTCTTTTCCTTGAACGATGATTGACGATTCATATTTTTCATTAAATCCTCGCTGAAAATCTGAATTACTTGTTATCTTTTCTTTATTATCGTTTCGTCAATCTCGTTCCATAATTTCACTGATTTGAATTCTCTTTGTAAGAACTTGTTAAAATTTGAATTCGCTTTGCTTGAACGTGGGGATTGGGGATTGAGGATTGAGAAAGCAAGACATAATTTTCCTCTGGAAAAGTTGAACATTTATAAGTGAGTTTTTGTTTCGTTAACATATTTTTCCTTCAATAAATTTTCTGAATATTCAAGAAAATATAGATTCTTTTTTAATATTTTTTCAATGTTCTGAAGATGGATTCACCTTTCATAATTTATAATTACTAATTTAATAAATGAAATCAATTAATTGTGAAAATGGGTTCACTGTTCATAATTTATAATTATTAATTTAATAAGTAAAATCAATTAATTGTGAAGTGAAATTTGCTATAAAATTGATTCATTGAATTTTTACTACCCTTTAACTCTCATTTCGTTTGATTGGTGATACGCAGGTTTTTGAAGAATCAAGATTGATTTAATTCCTGTTACTATTGCATTTGTTGAAAGAAGTTTTTCAAAATTGAAATTATTAAAATCTTATTTGCGATCAACCATATTACAAGAACAATTGAATGAATTAGCTTTGATATTTATTGAGCAAGACTTTCTACAACATATCGATTATGAAAATTTAATTAGTAAGTTTGCTTTTAAAAATGCGAGAAGAAATATTTTTACATGATTTGTAGCATTTCAAGCTTTACACTTGACTTGATTTAAATATTTTTTTTCAAGGTTTGCTTATATAGAATTGCACGAAGAGGCTAGTGGCTTGATTGGTTCTTTGTTGATAACATATGAATTTTGATGAAGTTCAAGAGATGCTTTTTGAGCTTTATTTATGTTTTTTTTTGTTCATGTATATATATATATATATATATATATATATTAGTTACTTGAAGGAGGCACCATTTTATAATCTCAAACAGGGCACCCAAAATTTCAGAGCTGGCTCTGCCACTACCATCCTTTGATTGATTCTTTGGAGAGTTTTTCTCTAATCCTTCGTCCTCGAAATAGAACCCATATCTCCAAACCATTTCATTCGCATCCATCGTTACTATTATTTTCTCATCTTTCATTCTCTTTGACTGAGCTACATCTTATAGTCTCATCGCCCGGATGACAAAAATTAAAGATCAAAGTAGAGAGAAAAATTAAAATTTCGTCTTTGAATAAGAGAAGACTTGACATAAAGTGGAGAAATTGGTGTCTCTGTCTCCTTATATTTAATTTGAATTGTTATGGATAAATTAGGTTTTTGATGTGAAGATATGGGATAGTAGCATTCTCGCTGGCAAGCATTGGAGATCTCAAATGAAGTATAATTTAAATTGTAAAAGCAGAAATGAATGCTCCTCTACGAGAATTGATGGCTACAAATTTGGACTCGGAAACATAATCAGCAGTGTTACGTGTTGTCATACTTGGCCAACCTACTTGGACCTATGGCCCACTTAATCCGAATCACGTGGTGCTCTAGCCGACGTGGTTTGTATGGCTGAGGCCCATATGCCAAGGCCTGTGAAGATAACTAAAATCATAAAGCGAAAGTACTACGTGAGTAACAGAAGCCCCAAATCCGAAGTCGAAGCAGAAGCCTCCGAACTATGAAGGAACGTCTTCCATGATCACTTCTCCCAAGAGATTTTCTACGTAAAGATCTTGTTAGAATGATTGATGGAACGTTTGTCATAAGTATACATGTCAAGTCTTGTCATTAGCATGGGATTCTGCATAAGCAATAAATGCGCAGCAAGCTAGCAAGTCAATGATGATGCCGAGGATTGGATGTTTGAATTAAAGAGATGAGACCACGTGCCACCTCATCCAATGGCTGTCATTTTACATGTATCACTATAAATACTTTCCTTATGTAACATTGAAGGACTAATGCAAGAATCAATACAAGAAACCACACTTTATTCTCTCTTTCATATTGCTTTACAACATTATACGAGTTCATACATATTTACATTCAGATTCATGAGCACCGATTGGTAATTATTGTACAATCGAATTACGAATATCCTGTCGGATTCCGAACGTTATCGTCCCGCGTCGTTGAGCTACTCCCACGCCCCTGATTCTTTCGTCCTAGACCGTCCATGTGTCTTAACGTGTAGGACCTTCGCTCATGAGTGCGCGGATGAGTCCGGCATCTGTTGGCAACATTTTTTGGGGTCAACAAGCAGGTTTGTTGATTTTGACATTATCATGTGAAATTTTTTTTGTCTCAAATAATTAAAAGGTTTTGAAGTGAAAATTCACACCCAAATAGGACCCATAGCCAACGAAGTGCAAAATACTGATGTTCCGCTCCTACTTCAACAAGGCGGCCATGAAGAGATGAATCAACAACGAAAGGCAAACGATAAAGTGTGACCGAACAATTAAAGGGGGAGCCCAACATGTGAATTCCCAAACGGAGATGGAGAGAAATTTTTTGCGATGGCAATGACCCCACTTACCCGCTCATCAAAGCATCTAACATAGAATACGCATCATGTTCCATATATTTCTTTGGGATTCAATTGATGAGAATCTGGGGAAACATTCGATTTGGGGTAAAATTGATTAGGTCTACAGAGGGAAGATTAGGGAAAATTAAAAAGTTGGAGAAACGACAAAACGATTCTTCAATTTCTTAAAAGAAAACGTTATTTTTTGAAATTGTTTTTATCCACTTGTCAATTTTTAACACCGTTAGTAGGCACGTAGGATTTTCCCGTGGATTTATTTCTTTGCCTAAGTGGATGGATAGATTTGAAATGAATAATGAATGGACAATTTTATTTAAAAATTGGTGACTAATAGGTAACCATCTGTATTTTGGTGAAACGTGTGCGATGAATGATTTAATTAATGCTTGTATTGTCTAAAAAATTACATTTTTTAAGAAGTTACGGTTATATTCAACATATGGTATGTTCGGTGGTAATTATGAAAATTAATTTTTTGACAGAAAGAAAAGTGAATTTCACATTTAAGTGAAAAGTAAAAAATAATGATTAAAATAGTAAAATCACAGTTAAAATATTAATTTATTGGTGTGAAAAATTGTAGTCAAACGGGGGCACAGTGTTCGTTCACCGTGGCTGTCGTTTAAACCCTGGTCTAGTGTCTCTGCGGGTGCAGTGTTGAGTGCAGTTCTCCATGGCGAAAACCAGAGTGAAGAAACGAAAGCTCGCCAACAAATCTTCCACTCCCACTCAATTTTTTGACAGAAAGAAAAGTGAATTTCACATTTAAGTGAAAAGTAAAAAATAATGATTAAAATAGTAAAATCACAGTTAAAATATTAATTTATTGGTGTGAAAAATTGTAGTCAAACGGTGGCACAGTGTTCGTTCACCGTGGCTGTCGTTTAAACCCTGGTCTAGTGTCTCTGCGGGTGCAGTGTCGAGTGCAGTTCTCCATGGCGAAAACCAGAGTGAAGAAACGAAAGCTCGCCAACAAATCTTCCACTCCCACTCCCACTCCCACGCCCACACCTAAAATCGACAAAAAAATCAAGAAAAAGAACAAATCCAAATCCAAAACTCAATTATCCGACTCCGACTCTGACTCCGACTCCAACCGGCAAACCCAGCTCCAATCTCTCCTCGAGGCCTACTCCAAAGACCAACTCATCACCCTCGTCATCGACCTCTGCTTATGCCAAGACTCCCTTTTTTCCGTTATAAAAGCCGCGGCCGACAAGGACATCTCCCATCGCAAAATATTTGTCCACGGCCTCGGGTGGAATACTACTCACGACTCCCTGGAGTCGGTTTTGAAATCGTTTGGTGAAATCGAGGATTTGAACATCGTGAATGATCGAGCAACTGGAAAGTGCAAGGGTTATGCTTTTGTCACTTTCAAAACCCGGCAATCCGCGAAGAAATTATTGGAAAACCCTAGAATTAATATTAGCAATCGTATAGCATCGTGCCAGCTGGCGTCAGCGGGTCCCAACGCTGCTCCAGCTCCAGGAACATTTACCCAGCCGCCGTCTTCTACGGATTATGCGAACAGGAAGATTTATATAACTAATGTGCCGGTGAATGCAAATGCACAGCAGTTGAGGGGATTTTTTGAGAAATTTGGGGAAATTGAGAGTGGGCCAACTGGTTTGGATCCCACAACTGGGAAATTTAAAGGTTATGCAATTTTCGTGTTCAAGACTTTGGATGGAGCTAAAAGGGTTTTAGAGGAGCCTTATAAGGTATTTGAAGGGCAAAAATTGCACTGCCAGAAGGCCACCGAGGGGAAGAGTAAGGTGGGCAGTGGGGCAGCATCAATAACTACCGCACTGCAGCCAGTGCAGCCGCTCATGCAGGTGGCAGCAGCCTCCCAGCAGGCACAGAATTTGGCATTATTGGGGCAGCAGGCGGGATTTGTTAATCCATTGTATGGTGGTGGGTTGACTGGGAATGCAAATTTGGGTGGATTGTTGGGAGGATATTATGGGATGATGGGAGGTCAGCTTCCGGGGTTGGATTTAGGTGCTTATAGTGGTGCTGGTGCTGGCAGTGGAGGGTCAAGTGGACCAATCCTTCCGGGGTTGGGTTTAGGTGCTTATAGTGGTAGTGGGGGTTTGAGTGGGGGGATGCTGCAGGGGCTGAGTTTGGGTGCTTATAGTGGTGCAGGTGCTGGAAGCGGAGGATCAAGTGGGGCAATGTTGCAGGGGCTGGGTCTAGGTGCTTATAGTGGTGCTGGTGCAGGTAGTGGAGGATCAAGTGCGGCGATGCTACTGGGATTGCAGCATGTGTACCCAAAATTGCACAGTGGGCAGACTTCGTCCTTGTCCAAGTCTCAAAGGACGGGTGGTGGTGGTTACTCTGCGAACTTGTGGTATGATTCATTCCTCATTTTTGTGTAGCTACATTTCTGTCTCCATTTCAAATATTTGTGCACTGCACTCTAGGTACAAGCATTATTCTATTATACTGTGCTGAGTGGACAAGCGAATGCAGGAGAGTTAATCCTCAATTGAGCAACAGTAACAACATAAAACAGAATTATTTTGCCGTATATAGCATGGCTGATAATAATTCTCTAAAATGCTAGTTTGCCGAAATTTAAAATTACATTAATTTCCTCTCTTCATCAGTGGTCCTTCCCATTGTATGACAAGTTGACTAGGCACACCATATCTGTCCTGATGTGGTGGTGTGTTCATTGTGGTGCTAGATATCTGTTATGTAAGAAATTCTGAAAAAAAAATTGCCTTTTCCATTTATTTTCTTCCTTTACTTTAAAGCACAGTTAACTACTTTAAGTACCTTACTATTTGAAAAAAACAGACCCCAGAGGATTGTGTTTTATCTCTAGAAGCCAATTGTTTTTAAATTTATTATGTAAGCCACTGGTTTAGATGAAAGTTTAGATTGTTAAGATGGGTATTGAAACACAATGTTAGTGAACCTATTACTACAATAGTGGAGATGATTATAAACTACCACGAAGAAATGTCTTTGTAGACAAAATTCCTTATAGACCATGCATATAAAGTTTGAGGACTGATCAATTGCTATTAAGACTGATGTTTTTGATGGGTTGGAATGTTACACTTAGAAGAAATAATGTAACCGACAAGCTAGATGAAGCATAAGCAAGCATGTTAACATGGATTTGCCTTCAGTCAAGAAATATTAACATTTGGCAAAATTGTACTTAGCACATCTCTGTCCTATGTAGTTTTTCCATCTGGTGCTTGCTTATGTATAAACCAAAATATCTCTGCCTTCGTAGATAATAAATTATCCATCAATTTTTATAGAACAAAAATCAACAGAGAATTGTTTGAGATGGATTGGGTGTGTTCAGTGAAGTAATTCCCATAATTGTTGAGGTGATTCCAGTTGACTGTTCAAAATTTAGTCAGATTAGAAAAGTTCATTTATTAGGATAAAGTAACTATGGAAGAAATGATACACTACAAGAGAGTGGGTACACCATGAAAGAAGCAAAATGGCGAACTAGGACTTGGGGAACTAATTCGAATTATTTAAGACAAATTATAGTTGTAGTTGAGATTGTCATTAATAAGGATGTCTTGGGTTTTCCTTCTAACACAAAAGTTTTGTTTTGCCTTTTGGTATGAAAACTTAATTTGTTGAATAGAAAATATTGTACTTGATCGAGTACAAATTGTTTTAAACCAAATAGAAGGATCTGGAAAATTAATTAAATCAAACATCGAAGAGAGAACTTTCAAATGTATTTGGGAAAATCGTTAGCGGATAGTATAAAGCTTCTCATGTAATTTCATTCACAGCTTTTCTTTTTCATAATTTTTTTTTGCCAGGCGCTATAGGATTACTCGCAATAATCAAAATAACTACTGTGGACATCATTTTTGTTTCTGTATTGCCTCCTGACATTATTGGTCATTCCTGCAGAAGAATTGGGCTGAGCTGGCGGAACAAGTTCTGGAAAATTTCTAGGGGCTTGATTGGGATTGGTGGCTTGGTCGTGGAATATGACATTGCAGCTTTATGTTTTTAATCCTTTATTACTTTTCTCATAGTCCTCTTTATTACATCCTTTTACTGGCCTTTGAAGAACCTTTGAAGAACTTCGTAGATTATATTTCATATTAAATTGATAAACCTTTTGTTACCTCTTTTTATGGGTTTAATGATTTTTCCCTTCAAAGCATCTTGGTCTCTTTTGATTCTCATTTTCCAAGTTTTATTTTGCTTTTGGTGATATTTCAGTATTGTTGTGTTTTGTTCTCCTTTTCTGTTTCTTTTCTTTTTTCTTTTCTGTTTTTTTTCTTGACACCTTTATAATATATTCTTCCATTAAAGCTAAACATGATGTTTATGGTCTCTTGATATTTTATTTGCCTTGTTACTTTTTTCGTAAAATCTTTGGCATTTGGCACTTTTGTCGTCTTTATTGTTTTCCAGCATACTTACAATTGACAATTTATTTTTAATTTTTTTCTTTAGGATTGATTATTTAGTGATATTTTTGCTGTGTGTTCATATGTTATTTGTGTGGATGAGTAGTTCTCATATGTGCCTTTAATAAGCCTCATCCTTTTTTTCCCACTTTTTTTGTAATTCTGTGGTTTTAAACTATTGAACTATATCTCTACCTCCTCCTCGAGCAATTTCTTTTTCTTTTTCTTTTTATTTTTATTTATTTATTTTTCTAAATAAATCTGAATCAGGAGGTATCCTTTTGCAACTTCTCCATCCTTGCAGTCTCTAATATCTTTCACATGTTCTTGGGAATTCTCTTACTGACATTGTTTTTTCCCAATTTGATGTCAGAGGAGTTGAGTTGAGTTGAGCTATCAGTTTTCTGCTAAAGTCATTTTGTATTTTGCTGTCGAGTATCAAATCAATGTTTAAATAAAGAATGGCTTCACCTTTTCCACTTTCTTCCATAGAGTTTCTCCCCATAAAATTTGGACGACTCCTTTAAAGGTGTGCTACAATTTCTTGTGCACCTGTTTGGTTTAAATAAAAATCAGTTTTTTAGTAGATTTTGATAAAAGTTGATGAAATGTGTGATTGAAAAATCGATAAAAATTATAGATCCTATGAAATGTGTGGTTGAAAATGAGTTTTAGAAAATGGGGGCCAAATAGGGGCACATCCTTTGTCATTTTTGTAAGATTATATTATCTACTTTTAAATTCATAGTGTCCCCATTTGATGTCAAATGATATATTTAACTTACGTTGATGATTGTTTACACATGGTTCTTTGGTATTAGATAATATTTTGCTGATCAAGCATTAGCTTGGTCATATGTTATTCACTGATCTCTTTTATTTCAGTAACTCTGTATAACCTTGCTAAGTTTCATATAGTAGTACTCCGATTAGCAAGCTTGAAAGTGTAAAAATTGAGGATTACTTATGGTGCAACTAATTATCAGGGGACAATAGTCTATTTTTCTCAACTCATTTCCCCTGACGAAAAAAATAGTATTTTGAATTTATTTGTTGGTGAATTAAGCTTTACCCTGTTTCCTTCTTAGGACAATATTCTATATTTATTCTTTGATTTTCTATTCTATTTTCGGGGTCAAAGTGTAGATATTTTTTAGATATTATGTTTTTATGCTTGCAAATTGCCCGTCTTTTGCAGAGTTATATACTAGTTCTTGAAAATGTAAGGAAGATTTCCTCCTCGATTTGTTGCTGGTATCCTTTCTCTGTCATCTTCATGCAAGTTTTGGAGCATATGTTACTTTACCACTTTTCTTTGTACCTTGTGAGTACGTTATATTTTCCCTTGAAGAAAACGCGACTCTTTTCTTGCATCATTATTTTTATGATTGAACATATTGATTCTCCTCAAGATATCTTAAAATGAAAATTTCAACTTGAGGAAATCAGAGGCAGATATTCTGAAATAATTTCTATGGTTTTGGTTTCCTTTTTGTTTTCATCTTGCTTTATGTCTTTTATGTTTTCTCTTTCTTCCTTGATCCTTCCATTGTCGTTTTCCACCAGAAGTTTGTGACCAACCATCTGTGGGTTATATGGATGAACAATGTTTGAGAGAGGTTCACTGGACATAAATATTGGTGCCTTTTGTTTGCAATTGTCAACTCTTGTGGTTAAGCTGAGGAAAAAGGCTTGGATTTTATTTTTGAATTCGTGGTTGAGTTGAGTTGAGTTGAGTTAGAGGTACGAGGTACTTCTGGAAACCTACTTTGTAACTAGTTTTTGAAGTAACTGTAAAGTTAATTAACTTCCTCTGTTTTGTGCTCGATTCCATCAACCTTACCCCATTTGATGCCTTGGCATATTTCGTGTATTTCATATCTTGGATTTCTTCTGAGAACCAATATTAGTACTCAGTGCTACTTATTAGAAGAATTTTTAATATAAATTATGGGAAATAGGGAATCCAGTTATTTACCACCAAATACATGCAGAGTTAATCGAAGAAATTATATGGTGTTGACATTGCCTCAACTTGAGTTCTTACCAACGCTCCAGTTATGCAAGAAACATCAAAGACATTTATCCTAAATAAACCTCCTGCTGCTGCACGGCATTAGCAAAAAGACAACTTTTGTAGGATATTTTACAGTGTGTTTACTTCTTCCTCTTCTTTGGGGGTTGGAGAGTTTCTTCCTCATCTTCGTCTTCGTCATCATCTTCTACGACTTCTTCCTCCTCCTCTTCATCATCATCCTCTTCTTGATCATCATCCTCGTCGTCCTCATCGTCATCTTTGTCATCATCTGCATCCTCTTCTTGATCATCATCCTCGTCATTTGTTTCTTGGTCTGGACCTTTTTTATCATCGTTCTTGTTACTGACGGGGTTTCCATCTTTGGAAGATAAGTCTTTCTCACCTTCTCCATCTTTGTCCTCGTCTTCATCCTCATCTTCATTTCCATCACCATCCTCGGCATCTATTGCCTTGTTGGGGTAGCATGCGTGATCATCTCCTCTCATCTTAGGTCGTATCGTCAATAACTTCATGTATTCATAAACATAAATATGGATGAATTTTATTATTGTATATATACGACAGTTTTTAATTTTTCAAAGAGGAGAAACACAGATACGTAATCCATGTGGGCAATGCGTTCCCCGTATTTGGAAGAATAGTGACTGAAAAAAAGCCCTTTGTAGAAATTAAAAATTTGATTTTAATTGAAGTGAAAGTCAAGAATTTATTTTTTATCGCATTTTATGAATTTTTAATCACACATTTCATCAACTGTTATCAATATTTACTAAAAGTCCAATTCTAATCTAGGGGCTAAATGTTGCACGTAAATATTGTAATACAAAATTTTGTAGCCTGAAATGAATTATTTCAAAAGATTGGGGGGGGGCAAATCTAAATATATTCGCAAATCAATATTTTGTACAAAAAATGATTCAAATTAGAAATATAATTCTTGTTCGAGTCTCACTCTTCACTTTTCGCAAAATTCATTTTTAATCACATATTTTTTAATAAAATAATATCACACACAAATCAAAACTTTTCTTTAATTTTTAATCACACATTCTACATCAATCTCTATTTAAAAATACGTTATTTCCCTTAAAATGGGCTCAAGGGCATAATATAATGTTCCAACCTTCTATATTTTGAAATCAACCAGTTCGCAAAATCTAAGTTGACTCAGGTAGGTTGGTTAGTCAAAAACTTCACTTGGTTTATAACAAAATAAATTTTAATTTAATTTAAACGGAAAA